TTTTTTAGGCGGTACGAAGTTTGCCGGGTCAGCTAGTATTTTATATATATGTACGTGCCATCGCTTCCATCAGCAAAGTTCTTAAAAATGAAAACTAGAAAAACCTAATCGCCTACGTGCTTCTATTAGCTATTAGGTAAACATAACCGTAGCATTAAGGCTATCATTTATACTTAAAGACTAACCTTAATATCAGCCACCCGTTGCTTTTAGGTCCCTAAACTAATAAAGGACATTTGGGGATCTTATGTAATAGATATTTAGGATGAGAATAGAATCATAAATATTTAGAGGTAGGTTAGTACACACTAGAAGGTGACCTAACGGGTTTTAGTGGGACCTGCTAGTTTCCCGTGACTTTGCTTGTGTGTCTTGTTTCTTGATATAGTATGGCTTCATATAACAGGTATGGCGAACCTTTACCTACACATTGACTTTCCAATTGATTTGAAGAAATGTGTATTGGTCTTAGGTGCCGTCAAATATTTTTTTTTATCATTAATCAGTAGAACAAAGTTTACAGCTGGCCTGATGGTAACATGTGCTGACATGCCGGGTGATTTTTCCCAACAATTTAACAAGAATGAATAAAATTATGCCAATCGACGTGTGAGTGAGGTTACCGGAGGCCCAATTACCCTCCCCTTCCCCAATCTCCCCAATTCCTGAATCCCCAACGATCCTACTCTTAATCCCCAAAAGGCCGGTAACGCACTTGTGTATTGGTATTCCAGGTGTCCATGGGCGACGCCGATTGCTTACCATCAGGCGATCCGTCTGCTCGTTTAGGTGAGGACGCCGTAGCGTCTCTCAAGCCACTCCTCAAAGAGGGGACTTACCGCTGCGATGGCAGCGAGCCCAGCCCTCGGTTGCGACAGTCGTTGCTGCCATTCCGCCATGAGATCGCGCCGGAGCTCATCCCGCCACGCACTTATCTGGCGCGGCAGCGGAGTTTCGCCCCGGCGACGTGCTTCCGCGCGCATGCTGTGCACGCGCGCGAGCACCTTCGCCTCCAGATCCCACGGCGGTAATCCGGCAAGGAGGTTCGCCGACTCCCCAGAGATCGTGCGGTATCCGCGGATCATTCGGATCGCCATGACCCTCTGTGCCATGAGCAGCGTCCGCTTCAGTACATATACATATACATATATAAATAAAAACAATTAAGTGTCCTTACCTTACACCTATTAAGTGTCCTTACCTAGAAGTGTTTCTAGTAACACTACCTAGCTAGCAATATTTCGAAAACTAGTTAGAACTAGTTTCATTCGGTTTTACAAGACAGGGCAAGTGGCACTCTTTCTTTTAAAACACCCTTTATCTTTATTGCGTAGTGGAAACTTAATAACGCGCTGTTGGCGATGCTCGCAATAAAATTATATTGTTTAAAAATGGAAATATTAAAATGGCTGGCTTTTTGACTGCCTTGTTAGTGCGACTGAATACTTACTGCTGTCAAGCTGCTAAAGTGTCGGATGAAGTGTTTTTTTTAAGGGGAAAATCATTGAATGATTTCTCCAGCCTGGGTGAGGTGGGAAGGAGTGTCAGACTATTATTGACTAAAACTACCCCGTTCCTACTCCCGCGGCTCCGTATCGGTATCAGCCATATTGGGATGCATCCGTAGTGGTCTGATGGCTCTTTGAGGCGCCGCGCCGTACGCTCGGGTCTGGTTCTAGTCGGGCAGCGAGCTACCCTTGCTCGTTGTCTGCAGGCCCGTGCTTACAGTGACCGGAGATCGTCCCGCGGTCCCCGACACCCGGAGTGTCCTTCGCGACGGCTGGGCTGTGAGGAGGAGGATGAAGTATTATTGGGTGTTTTAGTTAAAAATGTTAACGAACAGGTTTTGTTATGCGATGCTTTGTCTTTATCATCATCAATAACGTCTACTGCTAAAAAAAGGTTTTTATCATAATTTCAGTCTTGGGCCAAGCAGTTGGGGCTCCGAAAAAGTACAGGTTTCTGCTGCCCACCCTGCGATAGTTGGCCGGGATTTTCAGGCCATACTTGGGTTCATGTCGTTATGGTTACGATTACGGTTTTACTTGTGCACATTGACAAAAGAAAAGTTATAAGATGCTATGAAATATGACCCATCCAAAAATCGACCGCAACAACAATCGCTTAACTTACAACTTAACCACCTCACAGATGTAGAGTTGAAGAGTTAAAGAATAGAGTTATCATCAATATCTCCCAAAACAAAATATACTAAACTACATTTTTTTTGTTACAGTACCAAAGGTAGAGATAGTGGACGAACGTGGCCGGCCTCTACAGGACAAATTCTACAAAGAAGGTTCTATCATAGAGCTTCGCTGTGTGGTCAGCGAAGTGCCTCAGCCGACGCGACAGGTCAACTGGAAGCATGGCTCTAGGTTGCTCAACTACGATACTAAAAGGGGTGGCGTCAGGTAAGAGGCTCTATTTTATTTTTGATCTATTTTTAGTGACTCTATGGCAACTCTATGTTGTGGTTTTGTTTGTAAAACTCTATGTGACTAGGTAATATTATTTTCTAGCGAAGTGCACGTGTTTTGATCCAGTTTCAGTGGCTCTACGGTGTTTCTTTGTTGTGGTTTTTCTCGGAAGTAGTGGTGACTTTTTATGTGCATATTATATATATTATTTTTTCTGAAACAACTAAATTTTTACCAAATGAATGGTATCCATTTTAAATACACAAAGTATAATAATACGCTTTTTGGTTCCTCTAAGGAGTACAACATGTTTTTAGTAAAAAAAAGTTAAATTACACAAACAACACTGGGACAACTATGCTTAGGCACGAATGGGCCGGCTCGACCGGAGTGATACCACGGCCTCACAGAAAACCGACGTGAAGCAACACTTGTATTGTGATTCGTCGTGTGAGCAAGGTTACCGGAGGCCCAATTCCCCCCCCCCCCATCCTTCCCCAGTCTCAGGGACTCCGTAATAATCCTCAAATTTCTAATTTCAAATGGCCGGTAATGTAATTGCAACGCCTCTGGTGTTCCAGGTGTACATAAGTGACACCGATGGCTTACCATCAGGTGATCCATCTGCTCGTTTACCAGCGTACCATAAAAAATACCGTATCCTTCGTATTTTAAAGTATTCTGTATTTTACACGTGACTGTGAATTAATTAGAAGTCACGGTGGTTTGAAAGTTCGAAGAAAAACGAAAATGAATACGTCCGCTTCCCATGCATGACAGTGCGATTGCGAAACCTACCAAGCAAGTACCAATGTGACTATTTCCAAGTTATATGTACTTTATTCCTAAAATTATTTAGCCACCACAGACAAACGATGAAGGAAAACATCGTGAGGAAACCTGGGCTTTCAATTTCTAACTTATTTGTCAACCTGTCAAGCAAGCGTGGTTACTGCCCAAATTCACCTTCACCGTGTGAGAAATGGTTTATGGTTAGCAGTGGCCACTTATAGGTTGATGATGTGTTTGTAAGTTACGAAATTAGAAAATCTTCAAAAGTTCCTACATCCCATCCAAGTATCGAACCAAAGATCCTTTATCTAATAATATTCACACCACTCAATCTACAACTTAAAATTAATTCCCTCCACCAAAATATGATTCGTAGAAGCCATAATATTCTAAAACGTTTAAACTTAGCTAAGCACAATAATCTACGGCAGCCATGCGCAGAATTTCACTAGAATTCATTCCACTATATAGAATCTTCACTCAAAAGGATTCGCAAAACAGAAATTAATATTTCAAGCGATTATCGCCACGGAACTAGTTTTGAGTGGTTGGCAAAAGGAATGTTTTCGCTTGAAGTTTGTAGGTAATTGAAGGTTTGCGGTTCTTAGGACTGCTTCCTATACATCTAATTAAAAAGTTGTGGCATAAATTGAATAGATTTGGCAAATTATTTATTAATTAAATTAATATTTCCTGCGTTCCAATCGTATCGTTTTGGAACTAGTGTTTTTTGTAAGGCCGAATTAAGAGTACCCTTAACGGACGAACATGAATGAAAAGACTAATAACTTTTTTATAGTATAAGCCGGTAAACGAGCAGACGGAACACCTGATGGTAAGCAATCGGCGTCTCCTATGGACACCCGGAACGAGCGTCCAGAGGTGCGTTATCGGCCTTTTGGGGATTAGGAATTTAAGGATTTTCGGGGATTCAGGGATTGGGGAGGGGTAATTGGGCCTCCAGTAACCCACTCCCCCGACGAAACACAACGCAAGCAGTGTTTCAAGTCAGTTTTCTATGAGGCCGTGGTATCACTCCGGTCGAGCCGGCCCATTCGCGCCGCATGGCTCACACTTAAACTGACTAACTGGCAGTTGAGGAAGCAAAAGAGATAATATAATAATCGTAGCAATTGACGCTCGAGTCTGTACCTCTACCCTCACGGAAGACAATTATGAGGTTAACCCTTAAGCCCTACACTTATTTTACCATCCTATTTTCCTACAGGGGGTGCTCGAGTACCCCAAAGTTAAAATGGTATTATTTTTGGAAAATTAAATACGATTGAAATGTTTTATATTTATCTTTATTTCTTAGTCAATTGATATCACAAATCAACTTATAAAATTAAAAAATAATAATAAATAGTACTTTTCTGGCACACTTTTATTTGGTGCTCCAGGCAAATAGGGATTTGGCACTTATTGCACATGGTCTTGCATTTCCGGTCTTTATTCTTGGGACACATTCTACATCTTACTTGTTTTTGACAGTCAGGCATGGCACTTGGTGCTGGCACATCTTTTTTCAGGATACATGCAATGACCTCCTTGACATCCCTCCTCAAACTTGGGATTTGTAAACGATTTTCCTAGTGCTCATATATTATCCCAAGTCCCAATTCTTTGAGGAAAGTTCGTCGGGATTTTATGTCAGTCTTATTGTTTTCTTTCAACACAATTTAAAGAAGACCCAGGAGTTTATGTTAATAGCATTTAAAAGACCATACAAAATAGTTAAAGGCCATCTTCTTGTCTTTCTTTGGACGGAATATTTCTTCGCCATAGCATCAAACACATCTACTCCACCTTTTGTTTTATTACAAAAATATATGATATCTGGCAGTTCGACATCATCGACTTTGTCGGGAAAATCGTGTAGTGTAGACAACATGATGACAACCTACTTCTTCGCCCCTCTTGGCGGACAATATGAGAGAAGTGTTAGCGGTCCATCAAAGGCATTTCCCTACACTGGGGTGACCAGGCACCCCACAACACAAGTACACACGTCTACATGCAGTTGCGAACTCCACGCGACTGATAGGTCGAGAGCGGGTACCACTAAGAAAAAATACGCTGAAACTCAAAATTGTGTGAATATAACTATTTAGAGAAAAATCCAAAATAAAGTTCCGTGGGGTTCTCCAGCACCCCAGGTAGGGTTCCAGGGTTAAGTACGAATGTATGTTCCTTGTATGCGTTAAAGGATCTAAGAAAGGTTCTAAAATACCAGTAATAGTGGAAAACATGTTTTTTTAATATCTCAGAAACTATACATGAAGATAGAATTTAAGGGGAAAATAATAATTGATCAAGTATTATTGACTTTGGACAAATCTTTATGACGTTGTATTTTTGGTAATTTTATTACCTTCTCTGCCTCGTTGGCTGAGTGATTGCAAGTGCGGGATCCACCCGGGAATCGAACCTGAATCGAATCAAAATCGAACGCCGGATTCATTGCCGGGGTTTTAAACAATTCTCAGTAATAGCAGGAAGTCTGGAATTGTGCCCGGTATATGGCAATAACCTCACCCAACTCATAACATAAATAGTGAAAAATGGATGTTTCATTGTACAGTGGCATTAAGTGCCGTAATGTGCACCTCTGCCTACCCCTTCGTGAGTAAAAGGCGTGATGTTATGTTATGTTATGTTCTTATTTTCGTCAATATTATTTTAATCCATTCAGGAGCAATTTGACTTGAGCATACATATAAACATTATCAACCTACGTTCATAATACACACTGTTAAGATTCGAAGATCATGTTGACTACAGAGGAAACCTCAAGTTACTCCACAAACTGACTTCAAAGAAGAAACTCGACCCAACCAACTTGTATTACCAAAATACAACGTTTCACCTAGCTTAGTAGCATCGTATTTTAGCCGTCTTAAATTTATGAGGTGTAAAATTGGTGTATTCGTTTCGACTAGCCTACCTACTTGATTTAGTAGGGTAATATTTAATTAACTAGATAACCAAGCAAATTGAACTAAGAAAGTCAAATAACGGGAATTTATAAAGTCGATGTCAGGTTTCTAATTACAAGGCACATTGATTTAGTTGAAATTACCTTGTTTTCTTATTAATTGGGTGTATATAGAGTTACGATGGCTTACTTGGTATTTTAGGAGCTGGATTACAATTTTGATTTAGTAATTCAATTCAATATAGCCTCACCTCCTATTACATGGGACTCATAGCATGAATAGTGAAAAGTGGGTGTTACATTGTACAGTGGCATTAAGTGCCGCAAATGTTCACCTCTGCCTGCCCCTTCGGGGATAAACGGATTGATGTAACAATGATAATATTGTAGCTAAGATTTCACAATGATCATATGATCACGTAGGCATTAAATGTTCTCTTATTAACCGCATAAACATAGAGTCATTACCATCTTCATCATCATATAAGCCTACCAGCGACTCGCCCCTCGACGGGTGTAATATGCATGTATTAATCACTCTATCTATTTATAGTAAACCGCATCAAAATCTGTTGCGTAGTTTTAAAGCATACATAGGGACAGACAGACGGCGGATAGCAACTTTTTTTATAATATGTAAGTAGTGATAAGTGGCCACTGTTGACCAAAAGCCTCTTCTCGCACAGAGAAGGTTTACGTATATTAATACGTGGTGATTACACCATGCATGCACAATGCGGGTTGGCGATTTAAAACTTCTAATTAGAAATTATAAGCCCAGGTTTCTTCACAATATTATCTTTCACCGTTTGTCAGTGGTGTCTAAATAATCTTAGAAAGTACATACCTATAACTTGAAAGAAGATCTTTACCTTATAATCTTACCTCATTTCGTAAGACACAATACCTAAGCAAGGACGTTGGATAAATGACGGACACAGTCTCTTGAAACAACGACTGTGGCATTTGATTACTATACACACACGCAAAACATACACACATTGACACGAAGGACATCTGTCATTTTCTTAAGTCTGGTAACGTGGTAACCCATTGCACACGCACACATAAACGACCCACTGACATATTGGTGCTACAATCATTTGTAAGTGACATTATATTCCCTTTTACCGTCCTTGTACCTAAGAGAACAAATAATCAAGACTTGCTAATAATTCTGTATAACTACCGCTTATATCACGGGGAGTGCTCTGAGGAATTGTTTGACCTGATCCCTGCCGCATCTTTTCGCCATCGACCCTCACGACAGCATATGCATCCCCATCATATAGATGATTGGCAGGCCACGACTGTGCGCTTCTCACGTAGCTTCCTGCCTCGCACATCAAAACTGTGAAATGATCTGGCGTCGGCGGTATTTCCGAACCGATACGACTTTCAAACCATCAAGAAAAGAGCGTACTCCTTTTTAAAAGGCCGGCAACGCAGCTGTGACTCTTCTGGTGTTACGGGTGTCCATGGGCGGCGCTAATCGCTTACCATCAGGTGATCCGTCTGCTCGTTTGCCTCCTATTCCACAAAAAAAAAATAACTTTTCAACCTAAATAATCACAAATCTTTGTCTCAATTTCTACCTAACCAAAAGATAAAAATAGAATTTCTTCCTTTGTCAACAGTACCGATTCAACAACCGATAACTTCTCTTATATTTCTTTTGATTTTGTAATCAACACGGAAAATATTTTATTCATAATTTTCTATGAAGATATATTTATGTTCATTCATCATTTTCTTCGCTTTGTCTCATCAATGTTGTGTACTGATTTCTTCAATTCAAATTGGTTTATTTGTCATATTATTATATTTTTTAGTTCCAGAATTATATTTTTTCTGATCTTATTTATCCACATTGAGGCAAGTATACTACGTCTTCATTCTCCGATCTCCAGTATCAGACGTGTTGTCTTAAGATTAAATTATGTTTAAGTTCTAAGAAATTGAAACCTTGTATCTGGTTTTTGGTTTCAATTCTTATTTTATTTGAATTTGATTTTTGTTATCTTATTTTATGTGATTGGAATTTGACTGATATCCCCGTTTCTATTCTTATTCGGTTCATTATCTGTTTCATTCTTCCTTCTGTCATAACGATTTATGTTCTCATCAATCCAATCACAATCTATGCCATCGTTTCTCCAAACATCTTCACTTTTACCATCAATATTTAAATTAATCACTCCGTTAGATATTATTACAATATTTTCAACAAAGTTTACCATAATTTATACTTTATGACTATAGTGATTACCTAACCTTTAAGAAGGATTACCTTGTAAGCTGCGGAAAGGGTTCTTAGCGAACTTAATATGTTTTAATACCGTTGTTGCTTTAGTAATAGGTATTATAAATGCGAAATTGTTTTTCCGTATTTATACGTTGCAATACAATGTTTTTGAGAATGATATTTGTGTTTTTTTATGGACTAGGGGACGAACGAGCAGACGAATCATCTGATGGTAAACAACGCTGCCCACACTCACAACAAGTTACTGCTGATTTTAAAAGTAGTATTTTCGTGAAGGTTGTATTTGTCTCTGAAGATAGTTAATAGTAAAATTAGGAACTATTTCAGTTTAAAATACATAACATCCCGCTTTTTATTCCCGAAGGGGTAGGCAGAGATGCACATTATGTCACTGTACACTGTAACACCCACTTTTCACTATTTATGTTATGAGTCCTATGTAATAAGGGGTGAGCCTATTGCCATATACCGGGCACAATTTTAGACTCAGTGTATCTACTGAGATCTTTTTACATCCCAGTAATACTTTGCCCGGGAGTCGAACCCAAGACTCCTTGCCCGGCAGTAGCACTTGCGACCACTCGGCCAACGAGGCAGTTTATCACGATAATGCAGGCGAAACTGTTTTATTATAACAACCTTTTGATAATAAGGTTCTTGTATGAATTTTGTAAATGTCCAGCTCATTAAGAAAAGGGTAGGCAGTGGAGTGCTTAGTACACCCACCCTTGCAAATTATGTTATTGGTAGTATGTGTTGGGGTCGAGCATATTGCCAAACATTGGACCCAAATTCAACCTTCGTAGTTACATAATTATGTTGAAAATTCAATAATTACTTGCTGTTAATCGGAGCGTAGGACGTTAGATGTTAAATATGACTACTAAAGCAAAATAATTACATAACATAATAACAGAAAATAAAATAAAATGGTCACCTTAGGGTGACTAGCACTTTACCTTTATTTACTGCAGTGACTTCACTTTACCTCTGTCTTGGTACTTTTATACATACATTTATCTGATTGCAAACACACCAAAATATGCAACATATTAACTCTACCATCTTCATAATACTACATAAATATAACATCACACCTTTTATCCCCGAAGGGGTAGACAGATTACGGCATTTAAGGCCACTGTACAATGTAACACCCACTTTTCACTATTTATATTATAAATCTCATGTAATAGGAGGTGAGCCTATTGCCATATACCGGGCACAATACCAGACTCTGTGCTACTATAAAGAATTTTTTTAAACTCGTCCAACGAGGCAGTCGTGATACTTTAAATATAATAAACAGAAAATACAGCCTAAGATTATAATCCACGGCAAATCTAAATACCAACATAATACAAAATAACGAAAACAAAAGATTTATTCAAAAGGAGCGCCCTTCCTGCTTACCCCCTTCGCATTGGGTTTAATTAAAATGTTAAGTCAAGCAGAGCGATTAGTTTAGTCCCATAACAAAAGAGAACTTTAAGTGAAATACCTTAACTATATCGTTTGTGAAGTTCGAGGATATTTTGTAATACTAATCAGAGGTTCAACCCGAATTCAGTACGATACTGTTTTCCGACTTTTCAGAGTAATTTTCTATCAATTCCTGTCAAATCATGGATGTCTAAATATCAGGGTCCATTCTTAAGGTCATAAGTCAAAGTCAAAGTCAAAGCATTTATTTCAATTAAACAATAGTTTGGTACTTTTGAAACGTCAACAAATACAAAATAAATAATAGTCTGTCAGTCAGTCCGTCAGTGAAATTAGGTGAAGCTAGGTGCTCATTCTAAAATGTAGATTCGAATGGAGAATAACGAGCAAGAAACTCCATTCGTTACTTTTTTTTTAAAAAGTATGTTCTACAATGTCTCTGATACATATTTCAATACTGTACGCATATGTAAGAACAATGCAAAGACACGCTTGACGCATTATACTAATAACTTACTAAAATAAAATCTTAAGTCTAACATGGTGCTCACATATGCATACTGACAATCCATAAAAATAGTGCTATATCATACTCTAAACCATTTCGAACTTTAAATCGTATGATGTATTTCAAAACGTCAATACAAAACGGCTGTAAGCGCATTTCCTAAGCAAAAAATGGTACGCCGCAGCCATGCCGTGTCCGTGCCGCTATAACTGTGTATGATGTCCCTTAAACCTTATCCTGATGTCGCGGAGAACCTAACGGGTAACCGGGGCTCCGGCTCGACGTGCAGGAGAAGGAACAGGGTGGTTTTTAGTTAGTAAGAGTCTGACACTCCCTTCCGCCTCACCCAGGCGGGAGCAGTCATTCGATGATTTTCCCCCCTTAAAAAGAAAACCTTATCCTGATAATGCTTGGTCGAGTTGTGATCCATCCTTTCAATATATTTTTATTTATCTTAATAAAATCACTTACATTACAATCTGGCATTCAGTCTACCTATATATAAAGTCAATTTGACCAAAGAGATAAATAAAAATATCGTCATTTATCGTCGTGGTGGCCAGGAGTTTAAAGACACCTGCTTATCATGCATGAGAATGCGAGTTTGAAACCTACCAACGGCAAGTACCAATGTGATTTTTTCCGGGTTATATGTACTTTCTAAAATTATTTGGACCCCACTAATAAATGATGAAGGAAAACATCGTGAGGAAACCTGGGCTTATAATTTCTAATTATAAATTCGTAATCGCCAACCCGCATTGAGCAAGCGTGGTGATTGCTCAAATCTTCTCCGTGTGAGAAGAGGCTTTGCTCAGCAGTGGGTATTTATAGGCTGTTAATGATGATATAAGAAGGTTAAAAAATTGTGTGTGACAGTAAAGAAAATGTTCCTAGGTCGGTATGTAAGTCTTTGTGTGGTCAGAAGGACCACAAAACTTAATTGTTCTCCTCTTTTTTGTATCCCACTTTATTAGAGGATCTTAATAAATCTTTACACAACACCCATGTACTGTTCCCACAAAAGTAATTACAATCTACAACAAAAGCATTCTCATCTGAAAAACGTAAAAGAAACTAAAATGAGCCTTAAAACGAAGTGTTGGAAAACTCGATTCAGTTTCCCCCGAACTAGGTCAGGATTCCCTCTTTCCAATCAGGTGGATTGACAGTAGCATCCATCTGTCCTGACTGGTCGAAGTTTTCGTTTAATCAAATGTCGAATCTGTTGGTTCTTTAATTGTTTCAAGCTGAAGTTTGGATCGGATAGCGATGTTGTTGGATGTTTATAGAGTTGGAAATTGAATGACAGATTTTGTTAGGTTTGTGGAAGTTAAAAGATTTTGGTTCCAATTTACTTTTTTTGTTAATAATATTTTTTATAACACCAGCGAAGTCTATGTTACCCTACATAATAATGTGTGTTTGATCGCGCACGTAATTAACGAAGTACGAATCTTGGTACAATTACTGGGTCTGGCTGTATATTATAGGTTTTTCAATTTGAGATTCTGCAAGATCCTGCTATTTCTTCTTAATGGGACAAACCAGATCCTCTCAAAACCGCTCCAACTCCTATAAGCCAGGATCTACAGTAGATACAACCATGAAAACACCGTAACACTGAAGTCCGGCGCGTCCCAGAGACATGAGTAACTGTCTTGGTTCCCGCAACGAAGTGAATCAGAAGATATTATAAGAGAAGAAAAAAGCGACAGTTTCCACTTCCCTCAAAGATACTGCTATAATGGCTTTAAAAACATTACAATTCAATTCAAATTTCTTTGTCCACAGTGTAAAGACGGAGGCGACATCTAACGGTGCCCTATCACGTCTCTACATAGCGAACGCCAACAGAAATGACTCGGGGAACTACACATGCTCACTAGCTGACGTTGCCGCGTCCGCTGTATCAGTGCATGTGTTGAGAGGTAAGAAAAATGGACTTTAAATATAAATTGGCAAAGTTTAGATTAGAATGACTTATTGCCGATTTCAAAAATCTTATCTTAATCCAAAATCGATTTTTGGGTGGATTGGTATGGAATTTATGTGACAAATTTATATGCATTTCTTCGTCTGCATCAGGATCGGCCATTGAGTGGATATTTGGGCATATAATAAGATAAAACACCGAGTCACAATGTAATGTCTTTTGAGTGTGGGAGAGCCATGCTTAACCGGAGTGATACCACGGCCTCACAGAAAACCGATGTTACCGGAGGCCCAATTACCCACCCCTTCCCCAATCTCCCCAATCCCTGAATCCCCAACGATCCTCAAACTCCTAATTCCCAAAAGGCCGGTAACGCACTTGTAACACCTCTGGTGTTCCAGGTATCCATGGGCGACGCCGATTGCTTACCATCAGATGATCCGTCTGCTCGTTTACCGGCTTATGACATAAAAAAACATGACAACTTCTAGGCTGCTACGAATTGATGACATTGATTTAACACGCTAACCGCCACGTAGGTCTCCGGTGACCTATGTTAGCGGAGGATTTTCTTCAGCAGTTTTCTGTCGGGAGTCAAAGGCTTAAAAAACATTAAAATAAGTCACTTTATGTTTATATACAAAATGTTGGTTTATTGTTGAAATTACCTTCTATTTTAACCGCAACATCAAATGTTTTTCCCATCCACAATCAACCGTTCACCGTTATCATGTGATAGCTTTGTTTGTCCAAATTGTATACATAATAATTAATCATTGCATGTTAATTAGACTGCACTCTAAACGTAAATGTTTAATATAATTTATTTCAATGTTATTTCATTCAATTACCTGCACACATACGCACATATGGTGACAAAGTAGAACACAATTTTTCACCCCGAGTCTTCTTGTGTGAATATATCTATACTAATAATATTATAAAGAGGAAAGATTTGTATCTATTTTTTGTATATTTCTGTGTTTGTAATGAATAGGCTCATAAAGTACTGGGCCGATTTAAAAAAACCTTTTGCCAATAGAATGTTACATTCTTCCAATTTGCCATAAGCTACATTTCATTTTGAAAAAAGTTAGGGATCCTTGGTAAAATTTGAACAAAGTAACCGAAGGTGTAGAAAAATGAGTCTAAAATGTCTTTCATCGAATGCGCTGCCGAAACTATTAGCGATAGTACAAAATAATGTACAACAATATTGGAGAACATCATAATGTCTACAAAAAACTCCACGGTAGCATATGTCCAACTATTGTAGTTATGTCACTACAACAATCCAAATTTCCAAAAACAGATAATTGCATAGTACCCGTAGACCCCGTGCGAAGCCGGGACTATGGACGAGATATGGAGCCCATCCATGGGCTGCTAGTGTGTTATAAAAGTTGATTTAAACTCAAACTTAAAAGCATTTATTTTAATTGAATCATAAGTTAATACTTTTGAAACGTCAACAAATATAAACGTAAATAAATAATACTCTGTCAATCTGCCCGCAATAATGTGGAGTGTATATTTCACAATATGAACACATATGTGAGAACAATGTAAAACCACGCTTGAGGTACTAAACCTGTGATAGAGACCTAATAGCAATGTTCTCTGATATACTTGGATATTTTGTATTGTGATCTCTAACCCTTGGCATTGTCAAGCACAAAGATTCTGCCAAATCTTGATATGATGATGAATTTAATATCTACTGAAGACTATTTTATATATTATTTACATGACACCATGGCGGCGCAACCGGTCGCGCAAATTACCTCGTGGGCGAGAGACCTAAAGGTGGGACACTTAGCCAGCATGGATCCGGCACTGATACAACCGAATAATCACCTTGTCGTTTAAATTTGAACATTGCATTTTATGCAATATGATATATTTCAGAACGTCAATGTAAAAAAGTTGTGTTATGAACTTTATGATCCATAAGGCTGCTCGCCCACGAGCTACTTTTTGCGCGATCACTAAAACGCGGCAACATCGCTACTAACATGTGTTACTTTTGTATGCACTGTATCGATGCTAAGTGCGACAGCATCGCTTTAAAAAGTAGCTCGTGGGCGAGCAGCCTAAGCCTTACCTATATTCATTCTATGTACTATCCTTACATACATTACCTTCGATCATAGTCATGTACATACCTACTGAATATCCAACAGCACTCCAAACCTGACCATTTGTCGGAGAACCTAACGGGTTACCTGGGCTCCAGCTCAAAGTGCAGGAGTCAGAACGGGGTGGTTTTTAGTCAGTAAGAGTCTGACACTCCCTTCCGCCTCACTCAGACGGGAGAAGTCATTCGATAATTTTCCCCCCTTAAAAAAAAGACCTGACTATTTCCCCACGTTTTTTACCGCTTCATACTAGTATGGAAGTAAAGATTATATTATATAGGCTACATAGACAGTAAGTTCAGCTCTTTGCAAAGCCTAGGACATACATCATTACATCTGTTTGAACTGGCTCGCAGATTTTCTGTGCCACTTTGTGTATCATAGGGGCTTGTTACACAGGCGTATCAAAAACTTGAATTTTGTTCTTTATTGCTTTGTGTTGTGGTTGATTTTGACTTCAGCAGTATTTTATGTTCTAGGAGTATTAAAAATAGATGTAGATAACTCTGTGACGATATGGTTAAGCGAGTATCAAATAAGTCGAGTGGGGAGAATCTATCTACTTGAATATGAGTAATAAAAACCAGTGAAAATTTCGAATATAAATAGAGAACCTTAAGAAAATTAACATATTTGGAAATAGATATCACATTTAGTATGGTTGGTGGTTGGACAAGCGGCTGCCGCGTAATGTGTCGCGGTTTCGATGCCCGGACGGAGCTACTCGTTGTGTGATCTACAGTTTGTTGTTCCGGGTCTGAGTGTCATATGTATGTGAACTTGTATGTTTGTTAATGCACCCACGACACAGGAGAAAATCCTAGTGTGGGGCAAGGTTTCTTAAATATTATTATGGTACAACAGAATGCCTTATTGCAGTGAAATGAAGATGGACATATCCACATTCTTATTATTTTTGTTTAACCAAGAAGACTGAACTCATTACGTCACAGTTATATGAAATAAAACTCGTTTACACGATCGATTTTTAACAAAACAACCCTCTTTATCAATCTAAAAATATCCTATTAAAATATAAAGTATCCAACAACGAAAATTTAAAATCAGGCTAAACAAGAAGAAAGTGCCTAAACTAGCCTTTTCCATTATCCCAAACCCAATGGACCTAACACGAAACATCGATAATGTAAAATATTCCACAATCGTAGTCAAAATTAAATTGAAACGATGTTTTAAATCGAGTTGAACCAAATCGAATCGAATTACCGAATCAATCGATTTTCTTTGAAATGCTCGAAAGATGGATTGTTGCTTTTATATTTTGTAATTCGTCTTCTTTTTGACGTGGATTGAAGTTAATGTGTTATTCGGAGTTAGCGTTCTGTGAAACGAGGCATTAGACTGTGTTTAGCTTGAAGATATATTATTATTATTATTGATAATAAACTGAACACATAGGTATATTAGAAATTTTTGGCTATAACTTAGTGTTGACGCATAAGGCATATCAGAGGTTATATATTAGTCGGCTTTTAAGACACCCACGAAAAGCGTCGTAAACGAGCATACGCAGACGGATCATATGATGGTAAGCAATCGGCGTTGCCCATGGAGACTTGGAACACCAGAGGCGTTACAAGTACGTTACCGGCCTTTTGGGATTAGGAATTCGAGGATTGTTAGGGATTCAGGGCTTGGGGAAGGGGACGAGGGTAATTGGGCCTCTGGTAACCTCACTAACACGACGAAATACAACGCAAACGTTGTTTCACGTCGGACTTCTGTGAGGCCGTGGTATCACTCCGGTCGAGCCGGCCCATTCGTGTCGAAGCATGGCTCTCCCACACTAAATGTACTGTTGACACTCATTCAACTGATTGATAACTTTACTAAAGATGTTGATTCCAAAAATTTATTCATTTGTTTTTTTCTTCCACAGGCGAAAACCCGCTAGCGATGCAACGGGGAGGCGCATCATGCAGTTCCGATTCATTGCTGGCTCTAACCGTCGCTTTCATCAGCTGACACATAGCCAGCGCGCTTTGGACGCGCAACAATGCGTAATATTCGTAATATTAGTCGCAATTACTATGTTCGTAAACGCTAGAGTAATCTTTCTCAGTCGGTATTTGGTTGTATTGTACTTTAATGACTTCCCAGGAAAACTAACTTTATTTTCTACGAGATAGGTTTTAGTTTTGCTTAAAGGTGTTTAAAAAACTTTTAAAGTGTTTTTTAAAATGTAGATAATATATTCAGTGAGCTGCGCGACGTCACCGTGACCGCGCACGCTGCTCATGAGGAAGAACCCCTCTGTGATTCGAAACTAGTAGAGCTTTTCTCAGTATATTCACGTGAGTAACCCGCGTTTTTACTTAATTTAGTATGTCTCTCGATAGTTATTATAAAAACATAATTTATTTGCGTAAATAAGAGTATATTCTTTATTTCCAAATAACGTATTATTTTTTAAATAATAGCAACCTCAAAATACATTTTCAATAGCACACTGCAATACCATTGCTACGTTATAAAACATAAAGTCTACTTTAGCACATCACACATTGCATTTACTTATCCCTTCGAAGGAAAAATGTAAGACCAACCGAATTAAGGTCAAACGTTCTACACACTTTTCTAGAAATTTCCATCACCGCCAACGGATTTTATGAAGCTAAGATTTAATTTAAAAGATACCTTATTTCATTTGAAATAAATCTGTCTTTTAAATAACGTACCTACTTATTGGAATATTGAAGTAAATATTGTAAATGGACCAAGGTATAAAGTTTGCTATTTAGAGCCGTTTTTAGCATGGCCGTCTAGACCGGAGTGATACCACGGCCTCACAGAAAATCACGGTTAAAAATGTTGTGTTTCGCCATGTGATGTCAGTGAAGTTACCAAGAGCCCAATCTTGGCCCACCATGCCTAATCCAATTACTACTTTGGTGTAGCGGGTCTCCGCCCATGGAGAGAGGCGCCAATTGCTTACCATTAAGTAATCTGCCTGCTCTTTTGACACCATAAAATATCAATTAAGGAATATACCACTATTATTAGTCTTAAATATACTACTATGTACACAGAACACCGCTAATTAGTTTGCAGCGCTACACATCGACACTACTGTCATTTACACAGTGTGCATGTGTGGGTAATTTCATATTACTGTGTATAAAAATATTCGTCCACCACATTCACATTGGTATTTTCATTCTTGTGTCGGTATACGTATTTTTATAATTTAATGCATGGGTAAGGTTAAAACTATTTACAATCATTGATATGACCCGACATTTTCACTGTCATTATCGTAGTGCTCGTGGTCGATTGGTTAATGAGCACGCTTTTATCGTCTTTCAAGGATCAATGATGATGTGGGTTCTATTCCAGCTAAAAGTTTTTTTTATTTTACCTTGTTGTTTTTCTTATTTTTTTTTTTGTTTTTTGTAATATTATATCAAAATAATGAAAATAATGGTATTTGAGTTTGAACATAATACCGTGTGACACTGTCTATTAGTCTACGTCACTTTTAAGTGTGGGAGAGCCAAGCTTCGGCACAAATGGGCCGGCTCGACCGACGTGAAACAACGTTGCGTTGTATTTCGACGTGTTAGTTAGGTTACCGGAGTCCAAATCCCTAACAAACCTCGGAACAAACCTCAAACCTCGAAATCGAAGTTAACTATCGAGAACCGAAACCAAGATCTCTAGCTAACTACCACACTTCCCCAATCTCCCCAATCCCTGAATCCCTAACAAACCTCGGAACAAACCTCAAACCTCGGAATCGAAGTTGACTGTCGAGAACCGAAACCAAGATCTCTAGCTAACTACCACACTTCCCCAATCTCCCCACATCCCTGAAACCGCAACAATCATCAAATTCCTCATCCCCAAAAGGCCGGTAATGCACTTGTAACACTTCTGGAACTCAAGGCGTCCCTAGACGTGACCTACCATCAGTTGACCGGTTACCATCAGGTGATCCGTCTGTTCGTTTACCGATTTATCCCATAAAAAAACCTACAAATAAAAAATCCGTCTACTAACTCAAACTTCATACGGATATGGAAACTGCAATCAAAAATCACTTGAAACGACACCAAACCTGACATTGACAACCAGAGGCTATAAAAAAAGATATTCAAAGGTCTCAAGACTCACTTTATAGCCGCAACCGGCTACGCAGGAATCTTTATAGCCGTTTTATGGCCTATCGTTTTCACACACGCATCCATGCATCGCATATTAAAGACTAGCGTTTACCCGCAACTTCGTTCGTGTAGGCAGTTTTTTTTGTCTTCTTACACTAGGATTTTCTCCTATCGTTAGTATATTTACAAACACACAAAGACTTCGCACACTAACAATTTGTTGATCTCTCAAATAGTTTTTCCGCGCGGCATTCGAATCCGCGACTCGTTGTGTAGTTGCCCATCCACTGCACCAATTCTGCAGTCACTAATGGATGTGGTCCTGGACCGTAGCATGTTGTCCAGGTTTATTAGCATAAAAAATCAGCTCCGCGACCGCGCACGCTGCTCATGAGGAAGAACCCCTCTGTGGTTCGAAACTAATAGAGCTTTTCTCAGTATATTCACGTGAGTAACCCGCGGTTTTAGTTAATTTAGTATGTCTCACGATAGTTCTTATAAATACATTTTAGAGATTAGTCTGTACATACAAAGATACAATTTTTTTTCTATGTATTATTTCATTACCGTTTTCATTTACTATTTTTTTTATTATAAAATGTGTAATATTCAGACACTTTTTTTGTAACTGTATGTAAAGATTGCCACACGCGTCTAACTCGAAAACTTTCATCAAAATAATGACTTGTCAAATTTTATTTATTACCCATAAAATATGGGTTAACTGTAATTTGCCGGGTTTGATTTTTAATGCTTGGGGTTTTTTATAGTTGCGGATGAATTGATGGGGAGGGTTTAATGTTTTTATTTTGTTTCTTGTTTGGGTGAATTGTTTTTTGGTATGTGAATTTTCGGTTTCTGCCGTCTTAGTTGATATTAGATTCCTTTTTGTTGCCTTGTAAAATTATAAGCGATTATTTTCAGAATTTTGTAGGTTGAAAATAATTAAGAAAATAATTCAAAAAAAGAATGTTCGAATTTGATCTGTAATGAATTATAGTGTAGGAGACAGTTGCCGGAATACTGAAACGTTACTCAATTTTAAATCGTGCTTAAATATCGTGCCATCTCTGTCATTTTACAAAGAATTAGTAGTGACAGAACTATACTTAAGCACGACTTAAAATTGAGTAACGTTTCAGTTTTCCGACAAGTGTTGCACAAATGGGCCGGCTGGACCGGAGTGATACTACCTACAAGCCTCATAGATAACTGACGTGAAACAACGCTTGTGTTGTGTTTCGTCATGATAGTGAGGTTACCGGGAGTCCAATTAACTCGTCGAGTACCGGTTTTGTAGACACAATTATAGAACAATAGGTTGCGGTCACCGGTGACCGCTTGGTGTTTGACAGTTTAAGCTTATGAATGGAATGTCTCCAGTATTTATTTTTTGCTTTTGCCATTCATTTATTTTCCAAATGCCTATTAATTTGTTAGACGATCTTTTACAACAATTATTTTGAAACATTTATGATTGGAAACCCGAACAAGTTTATACAAACAAAATGTTACTAGAACTATGAATTTGAATTTTAAATATTACGATGTATGACTGAAATTTAAAACTGGATGAATATTAACCCGGCGGGAGTGTGGTGGGGTGTAGCATACCCCAGCATTAGATTTCCTAGGTATATTTTTTTAACTAGTAGTAACTAGATTTCGTGGCTTCGTGTAGCTGGAGGTAAAAGGTTGTGGGAGGGGTTAGTGGCCTGATCTCAGTTTTACACCGGCTGGTGATTGCAGTGCACGTGCGTAAACGTCCGTGGGGTAAGTCACACCCCGCCACATAGTTCGCGTATTGTTTTTATATTTATGCATATTTTTAATTCTTATAGTTTTTGAATAAAAATGGCACTGGAGGCAGATGAAAGACGTATAAGAAGCATTATTGATGAAGTTTTAGCCAAATCTTCAGATGAATCAGGTTCTACTGAAGAAATTGATCATTGCAGTGAGCATAAGCTTGAATCGGACACGCAATTCGTGTGTTATGACTTTGAAGCGATCAACAGCGAGTGGGATTCAGATGACAATATTCTCCTTGCTGCAAAAAGAACTTGTCTGTCTCCACTGGGACTGATCCAAAAATTATTACTTTATACAACTCCACAAAAGCAGGTGTAGACGTCGTGGACGAGCTGAGCGCTACTTATAATGTGTCTCGCAACAGTAAGCGTTGGCCAAAGACGATTTTTATGAAATTTTTCATATGGCTGCTGTCAATGCTAATATGATTTTTGAATTTATCAGAATAATTTGGATAAATAACAGAATTCCTCCATAGTTTGGGGTTGAATTTGTTGAACAGAACATCTGCAGTTGTGACAAACATAGAAAAATATTTCATCTAACATTTGCCAAAGAATTTCTTCACAAATGGGGGAACCAATGCGCCCAGCAGTGGAAAACAGTTCAGGACGATATACTCGTTGTCCGGATTATCCTCGGAAAAAAGATCGGAAGACAAAACACGTCTGTGCAAGCTGCGAACATCACTCAATCAATCAAACATGCAATATATTTTTGCAAAAATTGTGCTTACGGCGAGGCCTCTTACTAAGATATTCCATTTGATTCTATAAGTGCTTTTTAATTTTAATTGAAAAAAGGTCTCATTTTTTGTTAATTTAGAAGTTTTTATTTTGTTTTAATTATTGTGGTTGATTTTATGAATATTTTAATAGCGCAAGTAAATTTGTGTCACCGAAAAGTTCTCAAATTGTTCAACTACTAAGAAAGTAATAAAAGTATTTAAAATATGTATCTATTTGTTTAATTTTTTATTAAAGGGATTCTCAATCATAATACTTAGTAATAATTTTGTACCATTTTGGAGAAATACTTAGATAGAAGACG